CTCTACAGTTGATGTTCATAATCGAGCTCTTCTGAGGATTTTGTTTAATCATTCGACACGTTTGATTCCATCTTGACTTATTCTTTTTATTGCATTCATATTGTTTATGTTTATATACTTGTTCAAGATCTAATCGATCTTTATAGATTAAAGGTTAGTTTAATCTCATCAGATAGACTTCATAAATTGCAACTTTATGAATCTCTAGGTCAAGATGACCTTATAGTGGGTTAGATATGGTCTGTAGTCAAGCTTTGATGCCATGCATGGAGTTTAGGTCATATTTCCCCTTTTTGACCCATTTTTGGTTCAAGACATGCATTGGACATGCATGTCTATAAAACACCCACCTTTGGGACGTTTTAAGGCTAGAATCTCTTCTGGAAAAGTTGGGTTCTAGATATCAAGGATTTTGTGCTAAATGATTAAGACTTTGAGTTTTCAAGCCTTGTGGAAGGGTTTTTAAGCATTTGGAGTAGCCCCAAAGGATAAAGTTGGAAACTTTATCCTTTTAGACACATTTAGATTTTAGATCTGAGCCTTAGAGTCATTGGAATCGAAGAATCAGTTGTATGTGTTAAGCTGGGGAAAACTCGGCACGTTGGCTAGGGTTTGCCCCGACTTTCTGAGTATTGTAGAACTCGACGAGTTCAAGAGGTGCACTCGATGAGTTGGGTCAACATGGACTGTTGACCTTGACCGTTAACTTTGACTTTGACTATGGGTGACCAAGTTAGACTTTTGAGGGAATTTTGGGTATTTTGAGATTTTGATGGGTTGGTCATGATGGTTATAGGCTTTGAGTCGGGAGATGAGATTCAAAGTTAGATCTTATCGGTTTAACTGCTTGTTAGGTGAGTTTTCCTCACTGTACTTTCGGGTTGAAGGCACCAAGTCCGACCTATTGGTTTGATAACCTGACATTATGGATATGCTGAGTATGGTTTATATGTGCATGCTAGTCTTAATAGCTAGTTTAGTAGATCTGTAGGACTACCTGTGATAGTGTCTGTTTATCTGTTATATGTTGACATATTGTTTGGATGGGTTGAGGTAGTACTGCTTTGTATTGTAGCCAACAAAACCTGGAGTATGCTAGATATGAGTTAAGGGCCAGGGATGGCATGCCAGACTCATACTGAGTACTCATGACCATTTTAGATACGAGCTGAGGGCCGGACAGGGCATGCCAGGCTCATACTGAGGGCTTAGCGGTATTCAGTCTATTGACTGGTCAGGTTGGGGAGTAAGCCAAAAATAAGTTGCGGGCCCGTGGGGCAAGCCAGACTTATGTTTTGGGCTCAGGGGTAATCCGGTCTGTAAAGTTGTGGACCCATTGCATGTTGTTATTATATTTGTGCTATTTATTATGTATCGATATTTTAGGGGAAACTCACTAAGCTTTAGGTTTACAGTTTTGGATTATGTTTTAGGCACTTCAAAGGATCAGGGGAAGGCGAAGGAGTGATCGTGCACCTCCTCATGTTTTGTTTTACGGTTTTGGGATTTCTCTAATGTGAAACTTATTTTGAAAACAATTTGTAAACAATGATGATTTAAGGTTTATTTTAAAAGTTTAAAATTTTCAAGAATTTTCCAAATGTTACACATTTAAACAAAATGCAAAACAATCGGCTGTTATTTGTGAAAAAAAAAAAATAGCCCTTGACTGCAAAACACGCCGGAATTCTACATACTTGATGCTTGCTACTGCCATGAAATACAAAAAAGTATTATTCATGTTAAAAATCGTGAGCCCCAATATAAGAGTTTACATAATGAAAGTGATTGGGATTTGGCTAATGAACTTTGTGACGGACTAAAGATCTTTTATAGTGTCACATAATTGTTTTTGGGAACAAAATATCCTACCACTAACATTTTTTTTCCTAAAATTTGCGAAATAAAGTTAGCTTTAAAGAAATGGAATGACTCCAAGTTCACGGAAGTTAGTACAATGGCGTCAAGTATGGTTACAAAATTTGATAAAAATTGGGAAGATAGTTATGGGGTGATGTCTATGGCTACCATCTTGGATCTTAGGTTTAAGATGAAAATCCTAGAGTACTTTTTCCCTATTATATATGGAGATGATAAAGCAAAAGTTCATCTATTGAATGTCAAAGTAATTTGTGAAGGCATATATCAACAATACGATTCAAGATGTGTGAGCCAAACACGCAATGATGATAATGTCCTCACTTCTACTCAAAATGTAACTCCCAATGTTGAGACATAATTATTAGATGTTTTTTTCATGGAATTCTTTTCGTATTGTTGTTTGTGTGGAAAACAGAGTTAGAAGTGTACTTAGAAGAAAATACTTTACCGAGGAGTCATGATTTTGATATTTTAGTTTAGTGGAAGCTAAATGCTATTAAATATCCTACTTTAGGTGTGATTGCAAGAGACATATTGACTATTCTCATCTCTACTATTGCTTTAGAGTTTTCCTTTTCTACTAGTGGTAGAATTGTTGATCCACATTGTACTAAACTTCTTCCAAAAACAATTGAAGTTATCATATGTACCTAAAATTGATTATATGGCTGGAAAAAAGGTATGCGTTTTATGTTGTTTGTTATTTGTGTTATCGTTTCCATATTAAGTGTTGCTTACTATAATATTTTTATAGGTAGTCTTGTGGATGACTTAAATGCTGATGAAGATGAAGATGAAGAGAAAGATGAAAGGTAAAATACTTATGTGTTATAGTAATCGTTGATGTTTCATTGAACTCGTCGTACATTTTTTTGGTTTATAACTTTAGATTTATTGTGCTTTTTGGAACTTTACTCTGATGATAGATTTGGATATATTGTGGTTTTTTTTGGAAGTTTATCGTAATCATTCATGTTTCTTTGATTTTTTTTGGGTTGTAACTTTAAATTTATTGTGTTTTTTTTTCGGGGGCGAAGGTAATTCAGGAATTCAAGGGTGGGGGGCAGGGGCGGGGATGAAAAAGCTAGATATTTTCTGCGGTGGGGGATGCAATCACTGTCCTGTTTGCCCCAATTAACATCCCTATCATTCTCTCTATTTCCTTGAGTACCGTCTTGTTGTTCTCCTGCTGCTGAGTGACTTGTCATTCCAGTCTCTTCATCATAGCAAATAGCTCATCATTGGAAATCAGTACAGGAGGATCCTGAAATCCTTGGGTGGCGACCGGAGAGGTGTTTTTCTTTAGTGCCTCAGAAGTTTTCTTGGAAGCTCTGTGTGGAGGTGGAGGAAGATTTTTTTAGGAAACGAGAGGAATGGAGGAAGATGATAACGTTGGTTGGGTAGATATGATTCTCAAACGATTTTAAACACCATGACTCCACGGTGGGTGCCAAATCAACATCAATTTTGAGTAATGGAATGAAAACGAAGAAGACAAGCTTTTACTCTCATTTACACTGAAACTCTCATTTCCTTGGTAAAAATGATGTAATTGACATCAATTTTGTAACTTCACTGACGTGTTACATAAAAAATTATTTTAATAATCATTTTAGGACAAACTAAAAATTTATTATGCTACAATGTTATTTTCTCATATTATATATAATACAATGGAGTCTTAAAAAAATTTCATTAACCACCAATAATTAAGTTATATTATTTGGTCCTATAATATAATTTTGCTACGAACTTACCCGTAAAAACTAAAAACTTATATGAAGATTTTTTTTTTAATTGTAGCTAAAATTTAAATAATAAGCATATTTATTTTAGAATAAAAAAAATTATATTATAAGATGTAATTTCACACATGTATAGACTAATTTTACACCTAAATAGAGTAATATTATATTCTAGCCACCATACGTTTACATGTTATTCTCCCTCTACCTTGCTTTGCTTTTCACGCGAAACGCAGAGCGACACAAATACCCTCCTTTCGTCTCTCTCATCTTGTTTTTCTTACTTGGCCTCGATAACTGGCCCTGTCGTCTCCTCTTTTCTTGAGAAAAAAACTTTTTCTTTACCACATATACTCATATCTACATATCTAAATTCTATATCTTTTATGTCTTACCCCCTCTTCCCTTTCGCCCTGTCTCTATCAAGAAAAAAATAGTGTGTGTGAGTGAGTGTGTGTGGGTGTGGGAATATCCGGACTACATTTTTGACTCTCAACTGTTTGCCCCTGTGGTTTCTTGAAATTAGGGTTCTTGAAAGTTTTTCGTCCATGAATCTCTCGTATTTCTCGGCGCCATTGTCTTTGCATGTCATTTTATGATCTGGGTAAATCGATCCTCACCCCATTTTAAAAATCCGACCCGATTTCTGATCTGGGGTTCACTTCCTTTGTGCTTTACCGTTTTTCAAGAACACGCCCTTTTGAGAATAATGGAAAAGCTTGATGCTTTGTATCTTGATGAGCTTAGAGTGTTTGAATTGGGGGTGTATAGGGAGTGTGGTTTAGCTCATGATGGGTTGTGATTCTTTTTTAATTATTTAAAGGGGTTTGTGGTTGAGAAATTGAAATCTAGGGTTTTTGAAGAAAAAAATGGGGGTGGGTCCTGATTCTATGAAAACTAGGGTTTTGAATGTGGATAAATTGAAGGAAAGGAAGAAGAAAGAAGACGAGGTTAATGAAACAGGGTGTTGGATTAAGTTCAGATTCTTTGGAAGATGCATATCTTCAAGGTCTAAAGTTGAGAGCTCTATTAGCGGCAGTAGCACTCAATATGGTAATTTTTCAAGACTCAAATTCACTAATTTTATTTCATTGCTAAATATATGCATAATTGAATCTTTGTTAGCTTTAATTTCTTGTCGTTGTGGTGTATTTGTGTTTATGTTAATGAAATCTTGCATTTGCTTCTAGGTAGATTGTCTTTCAATGCTTTCCTTTTTTTTTTTTTTTTTGAAGTTTTCATTCATTAAAATGCAATTTTAAGTTTGTAAGCTCTTTTCAATATGTAGATATGGATAAACATATTATTATTATTCTGTACTAGATATCTGCATAATTGAATCTTTGTTAGCTTTAATCTCTTGTGGATATAGTCTTATTGTGCATATGTGGTTATGTTAATGGTATTTTGCATTTGATTTTAGGGAGATTATCTTTCAAAATTTTAATGATTCCCATTTTTTGAAGTTTTTATTTGTTAAAATGAAATGTTAAGTAGGTGTTATATGATTTTTTTCAAGGGTCAAATGAATGTTTTGGTACTAGTTGCAACAAAAGAGAGTGTCAAAGGGTAGATCAAATCACTTATATAGTATTTAAATTTAAAATTAAAAATAAGAACACCATCAAAAGTGATTCTTACACCTTCAAGTAGCAAAAGCATATCCATACACCATCACCATTGATGTTTTTAATCATATCCGATTATTCAATATCACATAACCACTTTCAAAATGGCTTAGTGCCCAAAAATAGAAATACATTTCTCAATGGGGAACAAAATTAAAGGGAAAGTGTCTCTCTTTATTTGTGGTATGACCAAAAAGGAAAGATTGCTTCTCACTTTTGAATTTTGTTTGATTTTGACGCGTATTTTGGTTTCTTTTTTAAGTAGAAACACATGTTTCATGTTTCGATAGTTTCTTTGACTATTTCAAAACGTATTACTAACAAACATATCATGTTCCCTACGACAATAAAAAGAAATAGTAACATGTTTTCCACACGAGTTCTAGTGTTTTCAAAAATCGGTAAAAAAAAAACTACATGAAATAGCAACAAATTTTACTCTTTTACTAATATACAACGTACTTTTTTTTCTCACATTTTTGTCTATCTATCACATGTAATCCCATACTAACAACATACTTACATTTTTTTACACATAATAACAACAAACACACTAATTTACTATTCCTTGCCTATAATAGCAACTTACTTTACTCTTTTTATCCAATTTAGACAATGCGCTTTATTTTTTTACTCATAACACCAAAATACTTGCATTTCTTTATTTATAATATTAACATACTTGTATTTCGTATACCTATAACAACAATATGTAAAGCTATAATAGCAACATACGTAGGTTTCTTTACAATTCCTTACCTATCATAACAACATACTAATATTTCTTACCAATAATAGCAATATATTGATTCTATTGGTAAAAAAAGTGTATGTATGTTGCATATATTAAACTCTTAAATAATTGCATGATTCTTCTTTTTCTTTTTTAATATGGTATACATATAAATGGCAATAACTGATTGAATTCTTAATTTTTTTTTTTTAAATGTGAAACAGCGGAAAGTAAATCAACAAATGACACAAGTACAGATCAACCGGTTGTTCCATGTGCATCATCTTCAACAACTAGCAATGAGGAAAGCAATACATCGACTTTGAACATAACAGAAGAACTTAAAATTGCTTCTCAACTTAGAAAGTTTAATTTCAGTGAACTTAAATCTGCAACAAGGAATTTTAGGCCAGAGAGTTTACTTGGTGAGGGTGGATTTGGTTGTGTTTTTAAAGGATGGATTAATGAGAATGGAACTGCCCCGGTCAAACCAGGCACCGGTTTGACCGTAGCGGTCAAGACCCTTAACCATGATGGTCTACAAGGTCACAAAGAATGGCTCGTATGTAATTCTAACCCTATTTTTTAATTTTTTTTTTAGTTTATGGAAAATAGAGGTGGGGAAATTGGCGGGTTGGATAATGGATCAAAACGGGTCGGTTTGACCCATCAAGTTTTTAGGTTTTATCTATTTGACCCTTTGGAGATGAAATATAGGGATATGATTTATTTTTTTTATGAGTAAATTACAAATTTGGTCCAATTTTTGAAATCTTCTTGAAGTCATCTTTAAGTTTTCATTTTGTGGTGAATTTAGGCTCTTACAATGAAATGCAAGTCTTAAATTGGACCAAACTTGTGATTTTGAGTAAAGCACATGGACCAAATCCGCAACAACATGCAAATTTAAGGATAACATCGTGAAGATTTCAAAAAGTGGCCCAAACTTGTGATTTTAAGTAAAGCACGTGGACCGAAAGGCGATCTAGTTGTTAAATAGAAAGAGTATATGATGGTCGTATTTGTGATTATCCCTAAAATATCATCCAAATTGATACGAAACTATGTGTATTTAATGATAATATGGTTGACTTTTTTTTTATATATATTCTTTTTGGTTTTGTGATAGGCGGAAGTTAACTTTCTTGGAGACCTCCTGCATCCAAATTTGGTTAAATTAATTGGTTATTGCATCGAGGATGACCAAAGGCTGCTTGTTTATGAGTTTATGCCACGTGGAAGCTTGGAAAATCATTTGTTCAGAAGTATGTTGTGTTTTTTATTCTATGTCGTTCTTTCTATTAATAGAAAGTCTTAAACATTTTCTTGAATTTTATAGGGTCGTTGCCACTTCCATGGGCAATGAGGATGAAAATCGCACTTGGTGCTGCAAAGGGTCTTGCTTTTCTTCACGAGGAAGCAGAAAGACCCGTTATTTATCGTGATTTTAAAACATCAAATATTTTACTCGATGCGGTTTGTGGCTCTTTAAATTCCTAACTACACCTTATTTGATTAATTTCTATAACAAGGATGAGAAGGGCATTTACGCCTTTTTGCACAGACAAGAAATTGTTATGACATGAGTCACCTTTTTGGATGTGACAAGACAAAAATCCACCTTTTTTGCTTATGTTGTTCCATTAACATTAGTATTCTAGTGAGGATGAGGAGGACATTTACGTCTTTTTGCACTTGCACTGACAAGAAATTTGTAGGAGTCTGGAGTTGTTGTCCAACCACCTTTTTGGGTGGGGGACAAAAAGACAAAAAAGCCCACCTTTTTAGGTGGGAGTGAGATAGAAAACAAAAATTTGCAGTTTGTGTCCCATTGACATCAGACACATTATTATCAGAATCAGTCTAATGCACACCAAACACAGTACAACAATAGTCTTATTGTGACCGTGATGACTTATTTTCAGGACTATAATGCAAAACTTTCCGATTTTGGACTTGCGAAAGACGGTCCGGAAGGCGATAAGACCCACGTGTCGACTCGTGTGATGGGTACATATGGTTATGCTGCCCCTGAGTATGTCATGACGGGTGCGTTATTTTCCTTCCAAGGGTTATAAGCAAGAAATAGCAACATACTTTTATTGATTTTGTTTATTTTATATATATATATATATATATATATATATATATATATATATATATATATCATACTTTGAATTCTTCCTATTACAACATTGTGCTTTAAAAAATCTACCTATTTATAGTAATGTCAACCAAATACAAAACAATTTTCAGTGCTACAATTGGGTAGTCTTTTCAAAGTATAAATCTCCTAATAAAAAAAATATTGAAATTAGAATGCTATATTTAGGTAAAGTACAATGCCTATATAAGAAAAAGAAAATGAAAGTAAAATGTGGTAATAGAAAGTCTGTTGCTATTTTAGATTTTCGAAGTATTGTGTTCTGATAAGAAGAAAATTGAAAAGTACAATGTTATAATACACAAATAAACGAAAGTATGCTTCTGTTTTAGATTTTTCACAGTATGTCCTAATAAGAAGAAAATTGAAAGTACAATGTTATAGTTAGGATGCTACGTAATATAATGTCATAATAAGAAAAATTGAAAGCATAATGTCCTAATAGAAAAAAAAAAAAAAAAAAAAAAAAGTAGGATGCTAGCTATATAATACACAAATAAGCAAAAGTGCATTGCTATTTTTTACTTTTTAAAGTACAGTGTCCCAATAAGAAGAAATCGAAACCACAATGCTGCGATCAGATAACATTTTCAAATTACTCTACCCAAGTGAGAAAAAAAAATCTTGCTTTCCAATTCAAGGGTAGAAAGGTCATTTCCTTTTTTCCAACTAATTTACAATTTACAACCCGATGTATCAAATTTCAGGACATTTAACATCAAAGAGCGACGTGTACAGTTTCGGGGTAGTTCTACTGGAGATGATAACGGGTCGAAGATCCATGGATAAAAACCGACCCAACGGAGAACACAACCTCGTGGAGTGGGCCCGCCCATATTTAGGAGAAAGAAGACGGTTCTACCGATTAATCGATCCACGGCTCGAAGGAAGATTCTCGATACGCGGCGCACAGAAGGCGGCGCAGTTGGCGACATTGTGTCTGAGCCGCGACCCGAAAGCGAGACCGCTGATGAGCGAAGTTCATGAAGCGCTGAAACCGCTCCCGAATTTGAAAGACATGGCGTGTTCGTCTCCGTATTTTCAGGCGATGCAATCGGAAAGGACTGGAAGTCGGAATGGAAATGGGAATGGGAATGGAATTGGGAATGGTGGGGGGAAAGGGCAGGGGGGTAGGAGTTTGTCGATTTCAAACTCGCCGTATCATCAGAATCAAGCGTATCGATCTCCGAAACCTGGAAGATAGGTGTTGGTGATGTGGCGAATCTGTGAAATTTTCTGGTTTTGATGGATTGTTGGTGGTTTTGTTTGTGTTTGTTTTGATCAAAGTTATATGTTGTTTGAATTTTCAATGTTGAAATTGAAAGCGCGCATTTTGAAAGATATCCAAAAAATCTTTATTTGAGCGTAGTTTTTTGTTCTGTTTAATTACGTGCAGTTTATAACTTATAAGCTGTAAAGATGGCAATATGGACAGGTAGTTAACGGGTTAAAATCTTAAATGTGTGTAAATTATTTGGACAGGTTGAGCGTAAAACATTGAATTGGAAAATCTTGCAAACAATATTTAATAGTTTTTCAAGTTAGTTATAATTCAAAAAATTTAAAAAGTCCTTTTTAATTATTTTTTTATAAATAAAATATTTAAATCTACAGTTTTTTGTTTAAGCTAAAAGTTTATTATCGAATATTTCCTAAGTTATATATGTAATTTATATATATTTAAAATGGTATTTATTTTTTGAAAATATCTACTCTTTAATTATTCGTGATTCCATTTGTTAACAGACGACACTTGAATCATAGTTTTAACTTTTAACCAAATCTAAAAAAGAGAGCACACACTTGAATTAACATTACATTTCAAGAAAACATTTTCAATATTCATAGTTTTAACTTTTAACCAAATATTCATCAATTTAAACATTAGAGCAATTAAGAGGAATAAGAAGAGCAAATAGTTGAAGGGTTAATGTCTTACTATTTTAGCCAATTTTTTTTACTTTAACTTGTTAAGTCGTCATTTCGATATTAATTCATAAACAAATAACCATGTATTTTTTACTTTAACTTGTTTATGCAGCCAATCTTCGGTAAACCAAAAAATTGGCCAACTAGTCTTTTTTTTTTTTTTTTTTTTTTCATAATAATTAAAGTAAATTGCATAAAATAATTGTCTTTTGGTTATTTTGTGTTTAACCATTATATTTCACTTTCATTAACGAATGCCACCAACGTTTTATATACTTTTTTCAATGTCGATCACTTTGATGCATGTTAAAGTGGTCATAAAATATATTTTTTTTATCGAAGTCTAGTGATTTTAGTGAAATTTTTGACACTAAATTTTTTCTATTATGACTTTCATTGCAGATCAACACAACGGTAGTTGACTAATTCCAAAAGAAGTATCAATTTTGATTTTTGACCCAATTCGTTTTTGACATGCCAATTTCGCACCTTTAGATTGCCTTAAGAAAATCGGTATCGATGTTTAAGCAACCTATTCATTATGAAAATTGTGTGTCAAGATAACAAGAAAAATAGGAAGAAAAAAACAGAATTATTTTTCTAGAGTGAATTCTTGGACTTCTATACCAGTATGCCTAGCACTTCCTTGTACTCTCACCAACACTTCATCACCAACCTTTAGTGACGTCACTGGAATTGCTGTTGCTTCATTTCCTCCAACTGTCACCAAATCAATATTATATATATATATATATATATATATATATATATATATATATATATATATATATATATATATATATATATATATACACTATTATTAATATAAACCCAACCTTTAAAATTACGAACCTTTTATAGGAGCTACAAGTCCAACAGTCTTTGAATTCTGTAGAAGAATGGTGTAAGAAGTTTCCTTATCTGAATCAACCTGTAATGATAAATGTCGAAGAAAGATTCAACCACTTTTGATTATTTTTTCTGATAATTTTTGGGATATGACAAAATACAGAATTTTTTTTTTTTTTTTATCATTTTATGGATTTAACCACTTAAACTACATATTCTATAGTGATTATCAAAATACAGAAAACTTTTTATCCTTTTATGGATCTGACCACTTAACTACATATTCTATATTCTATAGTGATTAACCCATTATCCTTTTTTGACCATTTAAAAACATAGAAAAAAAAAGAGACAAATATAGCCAATTTCTTTAATTTGCCAAAAAGTTCATATATTCCCTAAAATAGCCATCAATTTCGTAATGGCCAAAAAAATATCAAGATTTTTTTTAGTGCTACGGGATTGTTCATTTTTTTAAAAAAATTCATGATTATTTCTCAAGAAAACATTTTTGAAAGACCAATTTCGTCGAAAAAAAGGAGCTTCTTACTGTGAAAAACGAAGTATTGAGTTGATAAAAAAAGTGATTTTCTGTATTTTTCCCTTTTTGAATTTATTTATGACAGGGCAATCTACTATATTTGACATTTTTTCAAGTTACCTGGTTTTGAAAAAGGTTAAAATTCAAAAAAGGACAAAGTACAATAGTACAAAACAATAACAATAACCTGGAAAAAATGTTTTTTCTTAAAGGTAAAAAAATAAATAAAGGTTTAATCACTAAAGAGAACAGTTAAGTGACAATCAATAAAATAATGGAAAACAAACAAACCTTTGCATCAACAATGATTAATGGTCGTGTCTCTATCTTTACACGTCCAACTACAGCTGTTCTTTGTATGCCACTTTGATCAACAACAAGAATCTCTTTCCCTGCCTTCAGTTCTGAAAGATAGCAAGTTTTGCCACCTGGAATCGCCACATAAGCATGCACTGGCCCCTGAAAATGTTGACACGCCATCGTTATATATTAAAAAAATGTATCCAGTTAATACTTAAAAAAGAAATAAGCTTCTATAACTAGAAAATCAGTAATGGCATAATTAATATGATAAAATACCTCAGAAAATAAACACTCACTGCGTTAACTCGGAAAGGCCAGCTGGCAATGTAATTTGATTTTGACTCTAGGCAATCTGAGTGGACAAGGAATAATCCTCTTGCAAAAGATCCAACCTACAAGATAAGGATGAAGGCATTCATGTCTTTTGTCTTCTAGGGATATTTTTAGATGATGAGTATGAGAAGGGTATTATCGTCTTTTTTCACATGCGAGAGATGGAGAGTGAGTCCCCGTCCCACCTTTTTGTGTGACACCAAAATATTACAATTTTTGGTCCCAATAACATTGATATGTGTCCAATGCATACTAAAAGCAGTAAAACATGTCTTGTCTTGTCTTGTCCTTTTCAATCAGTACAACTTGTTATGTTGATATCATATACATGCCAAATACAGTACAACCTGTTATCACTTGTCATGTCATGTCCTATATGATGTCAAATGTAGTACAGTCTGTTTTGTTCAGTATCAAGATAATTAATTACAAGAAATATGTATTGAGAGTACCAAAAGGCCTTCACCAGGTCTCATGAGACTACAAAGATCAACACAAACTCTATCTCCCATTCCACACATTTTAACTCGAGAAATGGTAGCTTTGGTCAAACCCAGTATGTTGACTTCTTTATTTCTTTCATCAAGATAATCCTGATAATATCAACCATGTAAGAAACCATGACTCACTAAAGACTTTATTGGGTGATAAAAATGTACCTTTAGCTCAAAGACAGCTTCAACATCTTCAGTTTTTAAATCTACTCCCTCTAAACCTTGCTCCACTTCCTACAAAAGGCTAATAATAAAAATGAGTTGTTGTTTATTTTTTACTTAATAGGCTTAGTGGGTTAAACACTTAATGTGGACAGCTATACATGACTATTCGTTGTGTTCATATTTGGTCACTCTGAATTTTTTTGTACATATAAGGTACAACAAAAAGAGTATATGTACCTTTGATTGACAAAGAATTTAGAGTGAACAAATATGGATAGTGAATAGCTGGTTATTAATGTATATACTTTTTTGTATGTGTCCCAAATTATATAAAGTTGTTTTATTTTATCCATGAATTTAAGGTTGAATAAATAAAAAAAGTAATATACTTGTATATATTTGTTTTGCATCCAATTTTGTTTCCTTGTATTACAAAACTGTACTATAAAGATATTACACAACTGTAGGAATCCTAATTCCAATACAGACAATATTAGTAAAGATGTGTAATGGAACAAATTGAAGTCAAAAAAGGGGGAAGATATTGTATGAGAAGAGCGATGATTAAATAGAACCAAACAAAAAGGATGAGTTACCAAATGTTCTTGTAGATGTCTTTTTTGCAGCATTTGAGGACAACTTCCGGAAAGCCTGACTATTTGACCACGAACAACCGCTTGAAGCCATATAATGCCTTTGAGTGACCAAAATGCCCTTCGAGCCTTCACGGAGATATTAATATTAGTAAATGTATCACACTTATTACATAAGACATAAAACAAAAAATGATAATAAAAAAAGGGTATAAGCCATCCCAAGACCTCTCTTATGGAATCTCACCTCCTTACTCTTACTATTGTGGGTTAAATAGTTCTATTATTGGTAAGAAACCTAAGTATGTTGCTATAATGGGTGAAAAATGAAGTACATTGCCTATATTGGTAAAAGGAGTGAAATACATGTTCCTGAAATGATCTTTTAGAATACATTTTATCAAGTTCCAGAAGCATACCAAGTATCCCCTGAAAGCTGCCTGCACCTTAGTAGCAGCCTGCTCTAGCTCATCATCATTTGCAGCACTATCATAGATTAAGTTGTCAGTGGAGCTCTTTTCTAAATGTGTGATGACATTGCACAGTGGACTTGATATCACAGAAGAATCAGTACTAAAATCATTTGATTGTGAGTTGATAGTGATTGATGTCTTTTTGTCTGAAGTAGCATCCTTCAATAATACAGGATCAAATAAATGATTAGGTCAATAATCCATAGAGTATGCTTACTTGAATATAAGTGATAGACACAAATGTAATTTACTTACATTTGAGAGATTAGATTTTGATGACTTCTTCCCAAAATGCACAGTTTTGACCCACTTTCCAGGAGATTTTCCCATTGTTAAAGATTGAAGTTGGAAACAGTGTAACCTCAAAACTCAAAAGTCCCTGGATTCCATAAATGAATTCCATAAATCATTTTTCTCATTCAAGTTCTTTTTCCATCACTTGTACAGCATGTCAACATGACCAACAAGTAATGAGTCAAAATTCTCACAATGTTCATTAAAAGATCAGAAACAACGTTCCAAAAGCAGTATGATTCAGTGCAAAAAGATAAGTATGCTCAAGTCAATACTCAAGTACTCATATTCAATGTATCATTAATCTAATATGAACAAATTCACTTGTGTTAGATATTATCATGGTCTATATGTAATGAAAACCGAAAGTCTCAAACATGAATTAAGAACTTAAGTAATTATAAGAGAACAGTTATCATTTTATTTCATAGTAAGTATAAATTCAAATCAGAGACAGCTAAAAGGCAATTGCGAAAACGACACACAGCATAAGCATCAAATTCAAGCAATGTATCTATAGCCTAGCACAGATCTGCTACCGAACCAAACTTCAACCAATCAAATGCAAAATTACACGACGACCTAGGGTTCTAACCAGTTAACTTCAGATCGACAAACGTACCTGATCAACAAATCGCCTTTAAAACCCTACCTTATCAAGCTGCAAAACCACAACAGAATTCAACTAGTAGAAAACCGGAAGAAATTATCCAGAATATAGAGATTGAAGCCAATATTATGATCGAAATGATACCTTGAATTGAAGCATGAAGCCAACTTCGCCTCTATTTTCTCTCTGAGCAACCACAACGGTGGTTTTTAGCATTTCCATCCCCCATTCTAAGTGACGTGTGCCATGCCACTCAAACCAACAAAAGACCTTCCAAATTTCAATTCTCCAACGACCTTTGCAATATCAGTTGGTATCTTTTGATCATTTTATATTATTTTATGAAAATAGTATATTATTATTTATATTAGTTATATACTTATTAGTAAATATTTATTATTTAAAATATCCAAAAATTAAATTAAAATATAAAATAGATGTTGATATGCCAATAAATATTTCTGAAAGATTGTTAGACATTGCACATGACTACGAGAGAGTTTTTGTATTGCAATGAGATTAGAGAGTCAATGTCGCACATGTGCCACCACCACCATTAATCCATTATCAAGGTGAATTACATTGGCGGATAATATCATGAACTTAATTCTAACTCACCTACAACTAATTGTGGATCATTGTGAGACCATAATAGCTAAAGCCTTGTGTGGCCTTTAGGAGTTCCCATTTGTCATGAATGACTATTTATATCTATAGGTGTATCATATATGTTAAAATTAGGGATGAACACCGGTTGCGATCCTGAAAACTGAATACCTGAGAACCGAAATACACAAGGAATACAAGACCAAGACCAAACCGGTTAAGGGGATATCGATTTCAGTTCTCGGTTCCATACCAAGGTTTAGCCTACGAAACCAAAGAAGTGGATATCTCAAAACCAAGAACCGACCCGATAATATGTAACTCCAGTCCGGTCAGGCTTGACGGGGGCCGGTTCCGATTTTTTCCCAATGGTAAAGTTCTATGGTGTCAAATGCTCATCCTAATTAAATATATTTTTTGTTGTATTTTTGCTAAAACATTATTTGATATTGTTTATCCATATATTATGTTGGTTAAATAACTCTTAGAAATATCTTATTTATGAATTTGTATATGCGAGTAAAGTTTCCTAGCATATTTCATTAATATCCAACATGTTGTTCAAAGTTTTAGGAATAATTATCTAATTTTTGGATGATAACAACTCGTGAGAAAGATTGTCTCCAGCACTTCCATATGAGTTGCCATCAAACTAAAACTAAAAAGTAGATACTATTTTCCAAATCTTTGGAATCATTAGATGTTTGCTCATCATTATTTTAATAATTTTTAGCTAATAAGAACGATTAAGGTGTTCCTAATACAAGCATTCCCATTATTTCTAGTTTCAAGCTCATTCTTCTTGGTTTGGGTTGTAAGCACAAATTTTGCTGTAGTTCATCATTGCTCATAGGTTGTTTAAAGGTTATTTCCCGTCTCCACCAACTTATTTACCCCTTAATCATTAACAAAAGGTTCATGAATTTATTGCATTCCACATACTATTCACGTTACAAAATTGCCATGGAAGAATAAATCACGTTACACAATTGCACTCATTTTGCCCAAAAAAGATACAAAACGACACTATTTCACAACACAAAACTCAACATCAAAGAAAACACTTGTCACGATTATTAACAGGAAGAAGGGGAGAAGTTTATTGTGTCATCCGAAAGAGATGGAGAGGTGGTGGAGTTTGGCAAGACTCTGTCAGTAGTTTTCCTAAATGTCAATATCCTACGCACCAATTTTAAAACTCTCAATATATTTTTAAGATATATCATATGGTCTATTTTTCGTTAAAACTCCAACCAAATATATGAAACATCATGAAAAATAAATGAAAATTCATTTTTCAAGAATGAACTCTTGTATTTCTATACCAGTATGCCTAGCACCACCTTGTACTCTAACCAACACTTGATCACCAATCTTTAGTGACGTCACTGGAATTGCTGTTGCTTCATTTCCTCCACCTGTCACCAAATAAATATATAATATTATATATATTATATATAATAATATAAAACAACCCTAAAATATACACACCTTTTATAGGAGGTACAAATCCAACAGTCTCTGCATTTTGTAGAAGAATGCTGTAAAAAGTTTCCTTGTCAGAATCAGAATCAACCTGTTGTTATACATATTTTAAGCAGTTAAAAAAAATATATTGCCATGTCAGCATTCCACTAATTATTTGAGATGAAATTATTAAACCTTTGCATCAACAATGATTAAAGGTCGTGTCTCGATTTTTACACGTCCAACTACAGCTGTTCTTTGTATACCACTTTGATCAACAACAAGAACCTCTTTCCCTGCCTTCAGCTCTGAAAGGTAGCATGTTTTGCCACCTGGAACTGCCACGTAAGCATGCACTGGCCCCTGAAAATATTCCCTACAAATAAGTTATTTTATATAACTAGAAAATGGTAACTTATATAATTTATATAATAAAATACATCCGAAATAGAAACTCACTGCGTTAACTCGGAAAGGTCTGCTGGCTATATAGTTTGACTCTAGACACTCTGAGTGAACAAGGAATAATCCTCTTGCAAAAGATCCAACCTACATCCATAAGGATAAGGGCATTAATGTCTTTTATCAGAAAAAACAAACACAAGAAAGAAGGATTGAGAGTACCAAAAGGCCTTCACCGGGTTTCATGAGGCTGCAAAGATCAACACAAACTCTATCTCCCATTCCAGTCATTTGAACTCGAGTAATGGTAGCTTTGGTCAAATCCAATAGGCTGCCTTCTTTATTTCTTTTATCAAGATATTCCTGATATTAATATGAATTATGTAAGAAAGTATGAATTATAGAGACTTTATGGGTATTAAAAAAAATGTACCTTTAGCTCAAGGACAGTTTCAACATCTTCAGTTTTCAAAACTACTCCCCCTAAACCTTGCTCCAATGCCTACAAAAGGCAAATAATATCAGATAATTACAATGTGAAATTGTCTTGAAAATCTGCACATCCTTTTGTAAGAATAGAAACTTTTGGTTTTTAAGGTTTACCTCTAAGAAAATTTGAGCTTCTGAGAGACCTTTTGAGATGGCAAAGACTGTTTTGCGAGTGCCATGAAATGCTGCAACAATGTTCTCTGCAGGAATCACCTGAAAAAACATAAGTGATAACAAAATAAGTAAGGATAAGTTTATATAGACCTGTTATACTAATATATGTTTGTATAAAACATATAAAATAAACAAGTGGAAATGACATAAATTGTCTGCAATCTTGCTGATGACATATAGAATAAGAATGAAAGGGATGAGATGCATATATACCTGCCAATCCAATAGATCAACAATAATGTTATCTGCATGCTCATAAGCTGGCTGGAGTTGCTCCAATTCTTGGGGCGAAGATATTTCAGAAATTGTGGCAACCAATTTAGCCTTGTTGTCAAAAAGACTCTTGTCTTCAATGAAGATGGGATTTATCAATGCTATTGCTGCGTGTAGCAACAATAAAATCAGGATGGATGAAAATAGTTTCTTGGAATTTACCACATTCATATGTTCATAACTTCTCACAATATGTGATTTGTGGGAAATGTCAACGTAGGTGTGGAAAAGGAATGGGAAGATTTACAACATGACAGAAAGGTTTAGCAATCAGTAACTCATGGTGAATCCTATAGGAGCTTCTAAAGAAATTAAGCTAAAATGGATAATGTGTTGCTAGCATCTATGATCTAACCTACGCTGAAAGCTATTTAGGGGCATCCGATTAAGCTTTTGAGAGGAAAATCCATATAAAAACAAATCGATCCATATAATTCTGAAAATTTCCTACATAACAACTGAAGTCCCGAGTGTATCTCCCTTTAGAAGCAAGTAACTAACAGTATCAGTAGACTTACAAGACCAATCAGTAGCGAGCTGGCGATGAATAGAAGAGAAGATGAACGTGGTCCAACCCCTTTCAACAGCTGCCGTCATAACCTGCTTGTTCTCCGTCCATATCCATACCTCCTTCTTTTTCTTCTTCTTCTCCATCGACATTGTTACAATCACACCGCTCCTAAATCGTGAAATGCGCTTACCACAGTTGCTTCTAAAAGCACAATTGATTAATCTACGAGTCGTCAATTTGCCTAAGGACAATAAATAACATGATTAAATGCATAATCCAATGAATCGAGTAACTAATTGCACAAAGATAAACGAAGAGCAACCTCGAGAGAACCTGTAATGGTGATGAATGGGGAAGAAGGGGGAGAAGAAGGCGATAGAGTAGCCATTCCTGCGTTTGCTATTTCTAGTAATTTAACTCCTTGTTGGGTTTGCTGCAAGAACAAATGTATATAAAATAAAATAAATAAATAAAAAGATGTTATAAATCAATATCTCAAAAAGCTTTTATATTAATTGTTAGAAACAAACTAATTATTGATATGAAAATATAAATAAATATAACCAAAATCAAAGTTAATTTTCATTTTCCCTGACATTAATAATCCTTTCCTAAACTAGGTTGGAATCCATCCATCTCTACTTCTTTATTTTTCTTTTAGTAACTACTTGCAGCCCCCTTTCAAACTTTTATTTTATAATTTACAACTAAATTTAATTTTTTTCATAAATTTGATTAAAAAACTTTTTAATAATTACCTCATTTTTTAGTTATAACGTTTATCCATTTTAATGAATTTTATAGATGTGATATAAATATGTTTACAATCTTTCGTTAACTTTTTTTTAGAAATTTACTTTTTTTAAGCAAGTCTTTATAAAACAAAATTTAAAACTTTTTAAATTTTTTTTTCAAATCTAATTACACAACTTAGTTTACATATTCTTTTGTATGTTTGTTTATAAAAAAATTAAATACTTTTTTATAGACTTTGAACATTTTTTTTCTTTTTTATAAATTGAAACACAGAATTTAATCAATTCTTGATTATATATATATATATATATATATATATATATATATATATATATATATATATATATATATATATTGTGTAACATTTAATTTTGTTGTTTGTGTTTAACATAATTTTTTTTGATATATAAGTGATAGACAATAAAAAAGGAATAAATTAATAGTAAACTAGAGGAGAATCATACATACCGTTAGCGGTGTGTTCCTTTTTTTTTTTATTTCAAGGTGGACCAAATGGTACCTTCTTCCCTTTATTCCCCTTGTATTGAATATTTTACCGAGTTCGTTTAGGAAAACAAAAACATGAGAATTGAAATAGATAAACACAAACAATTATATTTTTTCAATGATGTTTTACCCTGAGAA